TTTGAAAATTAGAAATAATAATTATATTAAAAAACATTTGGACCATTAGTTACACTTGTTTTTAGATTGACCACCTATTAGCATCCATCTTTAAGATGGATGACCGCATATTGTAGAAATGCGGTCCAACCCGCATGAAACAATTTTCTATATAATAATGCGGTCCATCCCGCATGAAACAATTTTCTATATAATAAATTAAAGTTGTTCTACCTATTTGCGCACTCTCTGATTTGCCCTTGCTTAGTTAAATTAAAATTTTAAAATTAGAACACCTAAGCACACATGCAGGCAAGTGGGATGGGACAATCAGCTCCCTATGGACATAATATGGGTGCAATGATTGCAAGGAAAGAATGGATAATCATCAAACACCTACTGTTTGATCTTTTGATCAAAACTCACACTAATTGATTACGCCTATGGTTTCTTGTACTCCTTTGACTGGCTCTGTATCTTTTGTTTCTTTTCATCCCAACAGTTTCCTTAATAAGAGACAATTGCAGAGAATTTTATCTCAAAACAACTGCAGAGAGAGAGAGGAGGGTAAATCCCCAATTTCATGGATATTTCATTTATAAATAGCTCTAATTGTCATAATTTACATCTCAATGCATATCAAGTTTTGAACGGCCTTCAACAAAAATCCATGCAAGAACACAATCCTACAACAAAGCTATAAAAAAGAGGTTATCTCTCACCAAAATTTCTCTCTCAAACGTTTTTAAAAATTGTGTTTCTTAGCCATATGACAGGCTAAGTGCACCCAGTGTTCCAATGAATGACCAGGGCAGAGTACTTGGCGCATGCCCGAGCTGAGTACCCGACCCAGCAAAAAAGTGTTGAGAAAAATAAAAAAATACAAAAAATCGTAAAAATTAAAAATATATGTTTAAAGTAAGATTAACCTATGAAAAAAGTTTATATGAGGGTGAGGCTCTAAATAATCAAATTAAGGCACAACTAAAAAATTCACTAGAAGAGATCGATTCAATGCTGAAAAACCATCCTTTCGATCATCTAGACCTCAAGATGTATGGACATGAGAAAAAATAGATTTCAAGTCTTGAAAATAGTGCATCTTGTAATGTATTATCTAGACTGTCAATTTTTTAGATTTTCAACTGTTCATAGATCTCCTCAATCTACACTATTTTTGAATATTTAAATTTTGTAATTAGAGATAAAAGTAAATTTTTCGCCGATTATAAAAATTTCTTATACTAAAATAGCATATTTCGGTACTATTTGAAGGGGCATCTCACTTTGATTAGTTAGGGCATCGGCCTTATACAAACCACACCCCTAAACAAAATACGTCTAAATGCGTGTTAAAAAGTAGTAAATGAATAGAATTTGAAAAATTAGTTTGTGACAGGGGTATTTTTAAAATAATCTAAAAAGATGGAAAAGTATAAAAATAAATATTCATGGCCAAAATACTTTCCAATCTTTGTTAAAATAATAAAATGCATAAAGGAAAAGTATATAACGAGGCCATTTACTTTTGGTACAATATGATCACAATTAATCTTGACCATTGGATGTGAAATTGGTTGGATGCATTTATTTCATTGACCAAGCCCAGAGTTAAAAAGAAATTTTTTCGAACTTTGTAACATATCCAAGCCATCAGATTTTACATCGTATGATTAAAAGTAATTGTGACTTTCTTCTACCAAAAATAAATGGTCTCTTTGTACACAATCCCATATATAAATACATATATTACAAATAGATTTATTTTATTTTATTCTAATTTTATAATTTCTTTTGAATTTTTTTGAAGGTACTCGAGTTGGACCCCTACTCGGGACAACTCAGGCTTAGCCACTTCCCTAGCCCAAATAACTTGGCGAAGCTTACTCATCCAATTTTCTAACACTGAGTGCACCCTCAAGTTTTTCATAATACAAATTGGAGCCAGTGCCTTAGATTTGCCCAAGTACAATTTTTCCCAGGTAGGACCCACTTTAATAGGATATGGAAGTATAGAAATCAGTAAAATTTATGGTGGCTTTTATTTCCACCAATTGAGGAAAATGGGCATGATTATCACAAATATTTGCTTACTTTGCAGGGGTAACGAAGAAATCAACTCTCACCTCTTTTTTTCATTGTCCTGTAATTAAAGGCATTTGGGACTGGGTTAATTGATTTTGGGCGAGAGCGAAACACTTGATTTTTCAGATTTGGACTCCGCCTATTTCAGATTTAGTGGCGTCAGTGTTATGGAATGTTTGGAAGGAAAAGAATGCGGTATTGTGAAGGTATGTCAAAGGATGAGAGTGATCTTTGCTATGTTATTATGCGCTCTGCCGTAACCTGGGCACAAACGCTTGCTTCAGAGACATTCAAAGGGAGCTTTTTGAAACAAATTTGAACTTCGTGCCGTATTATAAGAAGAAAAGGCTTACAAAACCTCCCTCCCTGTTGGATCCCTCCTCCTTTGAGATGGGTCAAGCTTAACTTTGATAGGAATGTGAGAGAAGGAAGCCAACCAGCAAGTTAAGAGGCCTCTTAAGACACTTTGGGAGACAAATCAAGGAAGCCTTCATCCTTGCACATCAAATGAAGCTAAGCGGAACTTTGAACTTTGGGGCTTGAAGTTTGGCATGTTGAAGTTAGACGATCATGCTGAAGTTAGACGATCATCGTACCATTGAAGGAGACTCGGCCAATGTGGCTAGTGTAGGATGTCCGTTGATAACCATGGACTTGGATGAAATCTTCTGTGCTCTGAGGGGAAGAGAAATCTTTTCGCCTAGATTTCTTCTCTCTGTCTATGTTCTATACTCTCCCCCTTCTCGTCACCTTTTCATCCATCTTTCTCATCTTTTTTTTTGTTCTTTCTTTTTTCAATGAAATCCATTCATTAACATTAAAATAGCAATAAAAATGGTTTGTACGTTTCATTATCTCAATGAAATACCATCATTATCATTAAAATAACAATAAAAAATGGCTCATGATAGTAAATATTTTCGGCCATTAAAATTTTAGATCCAAAATCCATTTCTAACCGCATGTGAGCACCTGGACTCATCAAAACTTTACCCATTTACATTAGAACCTTCATACTCGTTTTTAGAAATGGTCGAAAGACCAATTTTTCACCTCATTGTTGTTTATTTAATTGGAGAGGACCCTCTTGGGATTTTTAAAATTATTTACCTTCCTTTTCTAAGTAGTTAATGCCCATCATCTTTGTCTTGTGCATGTTAACCTTTGCTCCCGCCACCAGTTTATAGCATTTTAAAAAAAAGCTATAGGTTTTATACCTGTCCTTGCCTTGCTTCAATAACCAGAAGGGTGTCATCTGCAAACGTTCATAGCATTCCAAAAAAAACTATAGGGTTTATACCTGCCCGTGCTTTGCTTCAATAACCAGAAGGGTGTCATCTGCATGGTGCAGATGTATTATGACTGGTCTAGTAGCAGCAGTTGATAAATCTTGTGAGTCAACTTTGTACAACTCCCTCCATCAGTTTTACTAAAAAGCTCTTGGCAAAGAGTAAAAAGGATTAGGGTAAAAGTTGAACAAAGTGAATTAGCACGGTATATGCGGTTTTTTATTTTTGTCTTTTCTACCCACTAGAACACTTATAGATGTTCAAATAATACAAAATAAAATTAAAATAAACAAAGATAAATAACAATAAGGTTCTCACTTGCTGCCACTAAATAAAACTCTTCTATTTCATTAACCAAAAATTACATAAACTCAGTTGGGAATAAGAATCATACTCGCATCTTTGGGCAAGCCATTCATTAATAGAATCGGAGGCATCACAATCTTTCTCATATTATCGATTCCAAAAAACTCTCACCCTCTCTCTGTCTCTCTCTCTTTCTCAATGCGGGTGTGACCAAAGTTTGGTGGTTTGATGGTAGAAATATTGGACAGCCTATTTTATATTTTTCTAACTTAATAGCAGTCCGATGTTTTAGCATTTTCACCTTTCCATTCAAACCCATTATAGGGTTATCTAATGTTCCCAATAGCAGACTGCCCTAGAAATAGATTGGCCTGTCTCTAGCGCACTAGACTGCCCCGAAAACCACAAAAAGTTAGAACATAATGCAGTAAAACTAGAAGAAAATAGGAATGGGCTCCAGGTTAGGTGATCAACATGGTGGGGTGCCACAATATAACATCTTGAGTTCTATTCCTACTATGAGCAAATGACCGTTATTCCACTCAACCACCCAAAACTAGAAAAAAAATTAAAGAAACCATTAAAAATAATAAAAATAAAAAATAAAAACCCAACCAAAAAATAAAAAAAAATCATTAAAAAATAATAAAAATAAAAATAAAAACTCTCACAGTCAAGTATGAGAAAATGTGGTCCAAAGGTAATTGCATAAATTTTATCCCATCCTTACATAAACACGATGACTTAGTGGCAATGACGCTAGGAGCTAGGATTGAAAACATTTGTAATCACTGTTTATTTAACAATATTAAGCACTCTTGTCAAAAAAATAAAATAAAAGAAATGATTGAGAACAAAGCTCATCCTAGGAAGTGTCGCACGGCGACATCAGCTGAAGAAACAAGCATCTTAAGCATGCTAAAAAACCATATCCTTTCGCCCCCCAATTATCCGCATATGCTCTCCCACATACATACAACAATACCATATCATTTCATATCCCTATCATCCTCATATACTCTCTCTGTCACATATTATTTCTCATGTGAAATGACAATGCAAAATACTTTTAAAAGTGGGATATTCTCCTAGAATATGTTGCACCTAGGACCTTACCCTTTCCATATTCTTTCATATCCCTATCATCCTCATATACTCTCTCTGTCACATTATTTCTCATGTGAAATGACAATGCAAAATACTATTAAAAGTGGGATATTCTGCTAGAATATGTTACACCTAGGACATTACCCTTTGTCCATTGCACCTAGGACCTTACCCTTTGTCCATTCTAAGTAAGAGATCATCAGAGAACCCATTCAAGCTTCTCCACTTGCACCTAAATCACCATAACCAAACCAAACACCAAATCATATATCTATATATATATAACTAACCTCCAGAATTCCCCCACCATTGGCAGCAGCAACAACAACACATGATGGAAAACTACGATCCTCTTTTCCCGGATCAACCAGTGGTGGATCTCTACCTTCCAGTGTGGGCTAGCCTTCCATCCACCGCCTTGAAGCCAGTGTTCATATGGGCCGACGCCGGAGCAAATGAGAGAGACACCCTCACCTACTCTCAGTTGAACTCATGTGTCACAGGTATTGCTTCTAATCTCCTCCTTCCCTTGCAAAAGGGTGACACCCTTCTCATCCTCTGCGCACCAGGCTTGCAGTTAGTGCAAGTGATTTTCGGTTGCCAGAGGGCTGGCCTTGTGGGAGTGCCTGTAATTCCACCCGACCCGAGCTTTAGTTCACCTCAGCAGCAGCAGCATCTCATTAGGGTCCTTAGACAGACGAAGCCGAAGGCGGCGGTTGCTGATCGCGAGTATATTTCGCTTGTACGGGCGTATTGTGAGTTTCCAGGAGCCTCTACATCACAGGAAAGGAGGATGTTGGCTACTTTACTTGCTCCATTGAAATGGATTCCCATTGAAACCAATGCTGTAGGTATTAACTTTGATTTTACTATCATAAATGGTATTTTGTTTTACAATTAAAGGTTTTTTAAGTGCCAAAAGAGGTTTTTCTGTTAGGCTTCTCTCCCATGTTCACTTACAATTAACAGCCCTAAAAGAACATACCCACATTCCAACCACAAAACTTCAAGCTGTGAAAAGATGAAATCTTTGATATATGGATCAAACTAATGCTTCAACTTTTATTTGCTAAACCTCAGCATTGCTTCGCTGTGGGAGGTGATAAGGGTCCACCATCTTCGACATACACCGGTTGCCAACCAGAAGATGTGTATCTCATACAGTACACCTCTGGGGCAACCGGCACCCCAAAGCCAGTTGTGGTCACTGCCGGAGCAGCGGCACACAATGTTCGTGCTGCCAGAAAGGCCTACGATCTTGACCTGTCAACCATCTTTGTGTCATGGCTGCCCCAATACCATGACTGTGGCCTCATGTTCCTGCTACTTACTATAGTCAGTGGTGCCACTTGTGTGCTCACTTCGCCCTCTGCATTTGTCCAAAGGCCTCTTCTTTGGCTCGAGCTCATTTCCAAGTACCAAGCCACATGCACACCGGTGCCCGCCTTTGCGCTACCGCTCGTTGCTAGAAGAGGAGGGCCATGTCTCCACAAGTTGGACCTTAGGAGCCTGAGGAACCTCGTACTCATCAATGAGCCCATCTATGATAGCGATGTCCAGGATTTCTTGAAAGTGTTTGCAGATGCAGGCTTACACCCAAGTGCTATCGCACCATCGTATGGGTTGGCCGAGAATTGCACATTTGTGTCGACAGCTTGGGCTCCTGGAGGGGTACCTTCCTTTCCTGACATCCCCGTTCATGCACAGTTGTTGCCCAGCGCAAGGCTTGGTTCGTATGACATAGACGTGGATGTGCACATAGTGGTTGTCGATGAGGAAACATTCGAACAAGTGGAAGATGGGAGGGAGGGAGAGATATGGGTTTCTTCAGAGAGCAACGCCAATGGTTATCTAGGCCAACCGTGGCTCAGCCACGAGGTGTTCAATTGCAGGCTTAAGGGTGGTGTCGGTCGAAGGTTCATTAGGACAGGCGATAGAGGCATAGTATTGGGGCACCAGAGGTTTCTATTTGTCACTGGGCGATGTCGTGACATGATAAGATCACATGATCGCACGGTGCACGCTCATTACTTGGAGACCAGGGCTTATAAGAGCCACCCTGAATGCTTGAGAGGTGGGTGCATTGCAGCATTTCAAGTGCAAAATGGGGAAGATCAAGTGGTTGCCATTATTGCAGAGTTACAGAAGGGGAAGGATAAAGGTGCATTATCACTTGTTAGAATATGCAAAGGGATTCAAGGCTCTTTGTTCAAAGAATATGGTTTGGAAGTGGGTCTGGTGGGTCTGGTTAAGGGAGGAAGCCTTCCAAAAACTTCATCAGGGAAGATGCAAAGATGGGCAGCCAAGGAGAAGTTAGCCAGGAGAGAGCTTGAAGTGGTGCAATTGGTGTGGTTTGGTAAGTCATGTGGTTCATCAGGTAAGGGAAGGGCTGAGTCTTTGGGCCCATTAAATGGCCCGAGTATGAAATATAATGGAGTGCATGAAAGCAGGGATTGGATGCTCTCTTATCCTCACATAACCTCGCTTCTCTAGAATATTAACCAAATGGTTGGAGACCAGAATGAAACATCCAGTCAAACTTGGCAAGGAATTTGGTAATTATGTGATGCAACTCATGGTGAAAACCTTAAGACATGGAAGGATTCGAGGAATCAAAACATAGGAATGTAAGAATCTATAAACATGAAACTTCTAGTAATTATCTACAGTCGTCTGTCTTCTCAACACTTTAAATGGACTATGAAATATTTATAAAAATATGTTAAAGAAAAAGAGTCGCAGTATCATGTATGTAATCAAATGGAGAATCTTTGAATATTTCTGAGTTTTCTTTCTTTTGGTTCATTTAACATGAATTTTAGAAGATATTCCCAATTTTGAGAACATGTTGATTATGTACCATTCTTCCCAAAAAATGTTTAAGAAAATTAAGCAGTTTTGGATAAAATTATTCTAGCGTAAATATTAGCTGTACAAAGAGACCATATTAACATTTGGTTCGTACGAAAGCTTGCACGTGCATAAAGCCGATGAAAACATGTCCCATACGAATAGGTTTTACCACCACAAGGAGCAAATGCTGTGAAAAGAAATCCCCACCCCATAAGGTGGGGAATAAGTTATGGGGGATTCATTACTCGTGCGGACCCTAAAAAATATGTCATTCATGTTTACAGCAACAGGCTGAAACCACACACACACACAACAAAAAAAAAAAAATCTCTCTTTCATCCGCTATCTCCCTCTCTTCCATCTATCATCTCTATGTCTATTCTGGTTTCTAGAGAGAGAGTGTGGGTTTTTAGAGAGAAAAATATATTGGATTTTTAGTGAGAAAGAATGGGTGTTTAGAGAAAAAAAGAAAGATCTTGTTTCTAGAGAGATGATGGATTTTTAGAGAGAAAAAGAGAGATTGGATTTTTAGATAGAGAAAGAGAGATTGAGTTTCTAGAGAGATAAAATAGGTTTTCAAAGAGAGTGAGATTAGGTTCCTAAAGAGAGAAAATGAGTTTTTAGAGAGTGAACGAGAGATTGGGTTTTTAGAGTGAGAATAAGTTTTTAGATAGAGAAAGAGAGATTGGGTTTTTAGAGAGAGAAAGAGAGATTGAGTTTTTAGAGAGAGATTGAGTTTTTAGAGGCAAAATAGGTTTTTAGAGTGTGAAAGGTAGGTTTTAGAGAGATAAATAGCGATTGGTTTTTTAGAGAGAGAAAATGAGTTTTTAGAGGGAAAGAGTGATTGGGTTTCCATAGAGAGATTAAATTTTTAAAGAGAAAATAACTTTTTAGAAAGAGAGAGATTAAGTTTATAAAGAGATAAAATGAGTTTTTAGAGAGAGAGAGAGATTGGGTTCTAAAGAGCAAATAGGTTTTTAGAAAGAGAAAGAGATAGGTTAAGTTTCTAGAGGGAGGGTTTTCAGAGATAGAAAAATAGATTTTAATTTTAGAGAGAGAGAAAGATTGGATTTTTAAATAGAGAGATTGGGTTTTTAGAGAGAGAAAATGATATTGCATTTTTAGAGAGAGAAACTAGGTTTTTAGTGAGAGAAAGAGAGATAGTTTACCAATGAGTTACCAAACATACAAAACTTAGTACATAGGAAGTCCACATATGTTGAACTAGGCATAGGAAAAAACATGATTGGAAAACTATTGCACATGTGCCAATGGTTACGACATGAACCAAACCAGCCGTACAAGCATGGTGAGGTTTTCTCTATTGAAAATAAGTTTGACTTTAGAAGATGTTTTTTTGGAATAAAGGTGTTGGAAATATGCCTATCAGGTTTTTTTATCTCGGGAATTTATTTTTCAATAATGATACAAAAGCCATATTGTAGATATGTGAAATCCCATGTGGTTGACATAAGGCAATGCCATATACTAGGAACTATTTTGGAGCTTTTATAAGATGTTGTACTGGAGGGAAAATCCAGTGTCACTGGAGGGAAAACCCAATGATGTGTTTGGATTATTTGTAAGAATTTTTTTTTATATTTATAGATGTACAAAATTATTTAATTTCTAAATATCTTTTTATCAAGTTGTATGAATGCTTGGATGTCATCCTATTATGAGAGTCATTAGTGCACTAATGACTCTCATTAGCTCATTGCATAGGATTAATAGTTTGGTGACAACTTGTTAATCCTAATTGGCTGCACTTAAAGAATTTAAAGCAAGAGTTTTACTTGGATATTAACTCCTATAGACCATGAATATGAGAGTTACAAAATATGGTTCTTTATAAAAATAGATTAATCCCTCGAGTAAGAAATAGAGATACGGATAGAAAAGAGGTGAATAAGATTCACCAAAGAGGGCTCTTAAGGTTGTTTGTCACTGGATGGCTTGGTCTATAGGATTTGGTATAAAACATTAGGTACATCGTGGGATTTAATGATATACCTGAGTAAGATGTTTATCGATTTCAATTTTATTTATTTGTTATTATTTTTATTGGGACTACCAAAAGGTACATGCCAAAGCTTGTTAAATATTTTTTTAAAATGGAGTAATTACATAGATCATACACAGGGATTTTTGATCCAGACCGGCAATCCGGTCTACTGAATTAATCATTACAAATCTGTTTATGTTAGAGAAGTGGCCAGAACCGGTCGTGTGGCCAGAACCGGTCGTGTCAAGGGGTGAACCCACCGGTTCTCAGTATTTTGTGGGAATTGGTTTGTCTTAGATGATTCTGATCTAGATCGGCCGGTTCCAATCTGATTGGCATTTTTTTTAAAACATTTGTTAAATGCTTTTCGTGCCATTCGAAGGCACAACATTTGGGTCAAATTGTTTGCGTGTCTTTTTACATCACAACTCTTGATAGGCCACATTTGGCAAAACCATATGACGGGTGTCTAAGCCTCATTGTATCCAAAAATCCTTGAAAAGTAGAGTAGATGATGTTTTCTAGTCTAAAAAGCCCACAATGATACTAATAAGGGTTATCCACTCCAATGACGATCCAACAATTCAAAGAGTGAACCACATAACCGGTCTAGGAGGATATGAACCAGTGTTCGAAAAGTCCGGCGGTTCAAACCGAAACAGGCCCGTTAAGTCAAAATCTGGACCCTCCCGGTTCCTGATCATCAGTTTTAGAGTGCTACTTATAAGACAAACCTCCCCAAAAAAAATCCGGACCAAGCCGCCCGTAAACCGCCCGATTTTTATCCTACCGGCCGGTTTTTAGCCTAACCAGACCGGTTTTCTTTAAAACGCGTTATCATAGAATATAACGGCCGTTACGTAACAAATCTTGTTATTTGTAGCAGTAGACCATTTTTCTCATCAGGAACCCGTAAGTTTTGTTTGGTTTGTTTTGATTCGATTTTTTCACCTTTTTTTAGAATTTTTCAGGCTTTCTTCAGTCAATTATTTACTGAAATATTTGATTTCACATTATAACTAGAGGGATTTTCAACCAAAAACAACGCCGGAATTCAAAATTTTGAAGCTTTTTTTTGATGTTCTTAACAGTTTCTCAAAAATCCGCCAAAGTTGAGATTTTGGGCTTATTTTCAGTTTTCTATCGGTAAAATTTTGGGGATATTGTAGACATTAGCGTTAATCAAGTTATTCAAGTCCTAATTTCATGAAAGAATCTAAATTTCAGTCTCGAATTCTATAGATTAGGGCATCATCTCAGTTTTCTGAACTGAGTTGATTAAAATCTGCCAAACTCGAGATTTTGGGCCCTTTTTCTGTCCTTTTTTAGTCAAATTTCGGTGGTTTTGTAGATGTTAGAGTTACTAAGATTATTCAATTCATATTTTCATCAAAAGATTGAAATTTCAGCTCAATTTCTTTAGATTAGGGCATCGCCTCAGAAAAACCGTCTCAGTTTTTCTGAACTGAGTTAAAAATATTCGTCGAACCTAAGATTTTGGGCCCTTTTTTATCCTTTCTCAGTCAAATTTTGGAGATTTTGTAGATGTTAGAGTACCTCATATTTTTCCAGTCCTAGTTTCATCAAAAGATCCAAATTTTAGGCTCGATTTCTACATAATAGGGCATCGTCTCAGTTTTTCTGAATTGAGTTGAAGAAAATTGGCCAAAAAGCGATACTTTGGACCCAATTTTTATCCTTTTTGAGTCCAATTTTCAGGATTTTAGAGATGTTTGAGTTACTTAGAAAATTGCTGTCCTAAATTAGTCGAAATGTTTTGCTCGATTTTTAGAGTTGCGATCACATGTATGAATTTCATGTGAATTTTGATGTAGTGTTTTTTTTTAATATGATTTTTTAGTTGCTTGAGTAATTGTGTACGACTTTATTTTGCTAAATAAATAACTATGCAAAATTTAAAATTTTGAAATAATTATCTTCAATTACTTAATATGTTTTTTCTTCTTTGGGGTAAATACTTGTTAATGTGTTTCTAATAGAAACTTTGTATGTAGGTAAGTTAATCGACTAAATAATTGTGCTGAACCACTGATTGTATGATAGATTGATTTTGGAGTGCTTTTCCTCTTGTCTCCCCATATTCATGATGTGTTTCTATTTTCATTTTACCTATTGATCGGTGTATTTTTAAATATTCAAAGTGATAGGACATCTCTTTTCAATTTATTTTCAATTTTTACATAGGGTTTTAATTGATGTACACCAGCCTTTACTCAAATTTTACGCTCAATGAACGTTGGCAGCCAAACACAACATTACCTTGTTCCCTTTCGCCGCACTTATTACTACTAGCCATTGTTAGTTGAACTATGTAACTTCCTCAATTGATTTAATGTTAAA